CATCTTCAGTGATTTGTAAAACATCGATAAAGCGTCGTCATACTTGCCTTGATAGTTATAGACGCCAGCAATACTGCTATAAGTTACAGCAATACTTGGATGATTGTTACCAAGTTGTGTTAGTTCAATCTTCAGAGATTTGTTAAACATCAATAGAGCGTCATCATACTTGCCTTGATGACTATGCACACCACCAATGTTGTGATATGTCGTAGCAATACTTAGATGATTGTCACCAAGTTTTGTTAGTTTAATCTTCAGAGATTTGTAATACACCGATAGAGCGTCGTCATACTTGCCTTGATTATTATAGACACTACCAAAGCTGTGATATATCGCAGCAATACTTAGATGATTGTCGCCAAGTTGTGTTAGTAGAATCTTCAGTGATTTTTTATACATCGATACAGTGTCGTCATACTTGCCTTGATGATTATAGACACCACCAATGTTGTGATATGTCGTAGCAATAGTAGGATGATTGTCACCAAGTTGTGTTAGGTTAATCTTCAGAGATTTGTTATACATCAATAGAGCGTCGTCATACTTGCCTTGATGATAATAGACACCAGCAAGGTTGTGATATGTCGTAGCAATATTTGGATGATTGTCACCAAGTTGTGTTAGTTTAATCTTCAGTGATTTGTAATACATCGAAAGAGCGGCGTCATACTTGCCTTGATCTTCATAGACACTACCAATGTTGTGATATGTCGAAGCAATACTTGGATGATTGTCACCAAGTTGTGTTTGGTTAATCTTAAGTGATTTGTTAAACATCGATAAAGCGTCGTCATACTTGCCTTGATGATAATAGGTATCACCAATGTTGTGATATGTCGCAGCAATACTTGGATGATTGTCACCAAGTTGTGTTAGTTGAATCTTCAAAGATTTGTTATACATCGATAGAGCGTCGTCATATTTGCCTTGATGATGATAGACTTGCCCAATATTGCTATAAGTTATAGCAATACTTGGATGATTGTCACCAAGTTGTGATCGTTTAATCTTCAGAGATTTATAATACATCGATAGAGCGTCGTCATACTTGCTTCGATCTTTATAGACACTACCAATGTTGTGATATGTCGTAGCAATACTTGGATGATTGTCACCAAGTTGTGTTAGTTTAATCTTCAGTGATTTGTTATACATTGATAGAGCGTCGTCATACTTGCCTTGATAATTATAGACACTACCAATATTGTGATATGTCATAGCGATACTTGGATGATTGTCGCCAAGTTGTGTTAGTTGAATCTTCAGTGATTTGTTATACATCGATAGAGCGTCGTCATACTTACCGTGATCATTATAGACTTGCCCAATATAGCTATAAGTTACAGCAATACTTGGATGATTGTCACCAAGTTGTGTTAGTTGAATCTTCAGTGATTTGTTATGCATCGACAAAGCGTCATCATACTTGCCTTGATGACTATAGACACTACCAATGCTGTGATATGTCGTAGCAATACTTAGATGGTTGTCACCAAGTTTTGTTAGTTTAATCTTCAGTGATTTGTTATACATCGCTAAAGCGTTGTCATGCTTGCCTTGATCATTATAGACACCAGCAATGTTGTGATATGTCGCAGCAATACTTGGATGATTGTCACCAAGTTGTGTTAGGTCAATCTTCAATGATTTTTTATACATCGATACAGCGTCATCATTCTTGTCTTGATCTTTTGTGACACTACCAATGTTGTGATATGTCGTAGCAATACTTGGATGATTGTCACCAAGTTGTGTTTGGTTAATCTTCAGAGATTTGTTATACATCGATAGAGCATCATCATAGTTGCCTTGATGATTATTGACACCACTAATGTTGTGATATTTCGCAGCAATACTTGGATGATTGTTACCAAGTTGAGTTTGTTTAATCTTAAGAGATTTGTTAAACATTGACAAAGCGTCGTCATACTTGCCTTGATCTTCATAGACACTACCAAAGTTGTGATACGTCGTAGCAATACTTGGATGATTGTCACCAAGTTGTGATAATTGAATCTGCAGTGATTTGTTATACATTGATAAAGCGTTGTCATACTTGCCTTGATCTTCATAGACACTACCAATGTTGTGATATATCACAGCAATACTTGGATGATTGTCACCAAGTTGTGTTAGTTGAATCTTCAGTGATTTGTTTTGCATTGATAGAGCGTCGTCATACTTGCCTTGATCTTTATAGACACTACCAATGTTGTGATATGTCGTAGCAATACTTGGATGATTGTCACCAAGTTGTGTTTGGTTAATCTTCAGTGATTTGTTATACATTGATAGAGCGTGATCATACTTGCCTTGATCTTTATAGACACTACCAATGTTGTGATATGTCGTAGCAATACTTGGATGATTGTCACCAAGTTGTGTTTGTAGAATCTTCAGTGATTTGTTATACGTCGATAGAGCGTCGTCATACTTACCTTGATCATTATAGACTTGCCCAATATTGCCATAACTGACAGCAATACTTGGATGATTGTCACCAAGTTGTGTTTGTAGAATCTTCAGTGATTTGTTATACATCGATAAAGCGTCGTCATATTTGCCTTGATGACTACAGACACTACCAATGTTGTGATATGTCACAGCAATACTTGGATGATTGTTACCAAGTTGTGTTAGTTGAATCTTCAGAGATTTGTTATACATCGATAGAGCGTCGCCATACTTGCCTTGGTGATTATAGACACTACCAATGTTGTGATATGTCGCAGCAATACTTGGATGATTGTCACCAAGTTGTGTTAGTTTAATCTTCAGTGATTTGTTATACATCGATAGAGCGTCGTCATACTTACCTTGATCATTATAGACTAGCCCAATATTGCTATAACTTACAGCAATACTTGGATGATTGTCGCCAAGCTGAGTTAGTATAATCTTCAGTGATTTGTTATACATCGATAGAGCATCGTCATACTTGCCTTGATCTTTATAGACACTACCAATGTTGTGATATGTCGTAGCAATACTTGGATGATTGTCACCAAGTTGTGTTAGTTTAATCTTCAGTGATTTGTAATACGTCGATAGAGCGTCGTCATACTTGCCTTGATGATTATAGATACTACCAATGTTGTGATATGTCGCAGCCATACTTGGATGATTGTCACCAAGTTGTGTTAGTTGAATTTTCAGAGATTTGTTAAACATTGATAAAGCGTCGTTATACTTGCCTTGATCTTTATGCACACCACCGATGTTGTGATATGTCGTAGCAATACTCGGATGATTGTCAGCAAGTTGTGTTAGTTCAATCTTCAGTGATTTGTTAAACATTGATAAAGCGTCGTCATACTTGCCTTGATGATTATAGACACTACCAATGTTGTGATATGTCGTAGCAATACTTGGATGATTGTCACCAAGTTGTGTTAGTTGAATTCTCAGTGATTTGTTATACATCGATAGAGCGTCATTATACTTGCCTTGATTATCATAAATACTTGCAATGTTAAGATAAGACTCACTAATATTGATATCTTCACTTTCTGACAATTCTGATTTTATTCTAAGTGATTTGTTAAAATCTTTTAAAGCTCCATTCAAATCACCACGTAATTGTTTAATGCACCCTTGCCTATCAAAGCACTTTGCAATTCTCACTCCATCTTGTAGTTGCTTGGCTAATTTCTTCGCATTTCTTATCCATTTATCGGCTTCTATCAGTTTATATTGACTTAAATAGCAATCGGCTACGTCGAGATAAATATCGTATTCAAGTTGATGGTGATGATTATTATTACTATTCTTGGACATAGATTGGATTTGAGTAACAGCTTCTTTGTAATGTAATAGAGCTTGTTCATAATTGCCTTCTTCAAAGCATTTCATACCTTTTTTGTGGATAGATTCAGTTTCATCGAGGATAGTCAAATTTGTGGACTCATATGCCGCCATGTTTCAGTTAATAACAAGACTGAAAGCATACACAGTAATTTGGGGGAAATAAACACCAGTACTCTAATCGATAGAGGTCGCAACTTTAATAGAAATACGATTGATTATCGCAATCGCTTCACAGTATATGATTGAGCCAAACTGATGCCTTCTATTTAATGTCAAGATTTCAAAGTCTATGCTAGTTCACAGCATGCTCAAATCGGCGAAATTGGATACGCCCTAAGAAGTCGACGGTCATCAATTCTAATTATTGGTTAATCATTTTTTTGATATTAACGAAGCCGTAATAGATTGAAAACGCGAAGACATTCTTTCCATACCTTACTTCTCTTTATTTATTTTCAATATCAATAATCTGCGTCATCGCTATTATTATAAATAGAAGCTTACTCATTAACACAACAATAGTAATGAATAAGTAAAATACAGTGTTAAGCATAAAAGAGGTTTGCTATCATATTAATAACTTCGCAAATTGGCTTAATGGCTTGATAAACTAATGTTAAACACTTTTGTTATGCAGTTCATCAATTACAGAAATTCTACGCAAAGAATATTGGGTATCTTCAATTATTTGCGATCATTGCCTTATAATTCTACTAAGTATAATCAACATCATTTTATTATAATCCTGCATATGTTGATTTATTTTTGCGTCGATAGTCGATTTGGCGGCATATTGCTCATTTTTCAGTTTTGGGCATAATACATGCTATAACTACAATATAATCATTCATCATTATTCATTAATGAAGTTGTTCTACTTTACCATCCGAGATAGCTGTCTTCTATATAACGTGAAATCGAGGATGAAGGAGAGGGACGAATTATTATCAATTCGTAAAATTAGGGATAAGTGTTCTTAAGAGTTACTTAAAGAGATTTAGTGCCCTGATACGTGGCTCAGGGATAAGATTTGTTCATTCAGCCTTCTCGTTATTTTGTTATAGAACTGGTCTGTGTCACAATAATATGGAAAGACTAATATCGCGATAATATAGAGATAAGATAGGAATATTGCATGCAAATGGATTTGTTGTGAAATATAAAACGTAGAAATCAAGCTACAAAACTTTTAACAAACTTTGATTCTACTTTCTTGGCCTCTGGTCGACTTAACGAAACTATGATACCAAATAAAAATTGGAGAAACAACCGAACAACAAATTATTAATAAATGCGAGAGAGATAGATCAAACAACCTTTCAGATACTTAATCCTAGTATTGTTAGTGAAGAAATAATGAAAAAACGACAGAATCAAAGCTGTCGACAACTGAACAACCTAACAAAAGAAGAACGTTTTCACTTACAACAGTTCGACCCCGAAGGTCTTTAAAATTCAACAAGTTCTTCAAAAACATCTTCTTTTACTCTCTACTTTAAATTTTCTTATTGCACTATCATTTATAGTCACGGCCTCGCAGAGCCCTCTCGGTCGACGGAAACTAAATCCAAAATATCCGAACTTTAATAAAATCACATATTTGCTTATCGAAACATTTTATATGACAACTATGACTAGTTTTCTGACGTTAGTACTAACAGTTGATGTATTCAAACTCATTTACAATCTCAATAGACTATCAAACGCCCTTACTTTAGAATAGGCAATTGCTCTTAAGTCATTCCTATAGTAATCTATACAAAATCATGTAAAATAGTGAAGAAGAAAAGATAGCGACATCATGATTTGGCAAGGTAAACCTTAAAGATACTATAC